TCTCGAAGTGGCACGCCAATCGAGTGATCAGGGGACCACAGAAGAGATGGTTGGGTTTCCCATGGCAACGAGAGAAGGTGTTAGCCATGAAAGAACCCAAGTGCAGCATGTGCTCCGGGTACCCCATCGAATACATGGCGTAGAGCACCCGCTTCGGGATCTTGTGCGAACTAGTGGCATTGGGGACGATGGAGCGGGTGATCAGCAGATTGAGGATGTGCCACTGCAGCTTAAGGGTGCGTACGGATATCTGGCCGGCGTCGAAGTAGTCCATCCCATAGGCGCGTCGAGCTATCTGGCGGTAGAACCCGTCCTGGTTCTAGTCCTATGGATGCGAGATCTCTACCTCATGGTGCGAATAGGGGTGGTACTGGATCCCCATGACGAAGGCCAGCCCATCAATGGTCAGCTGTCGTAGCCTGCCACCTAGCCTGAAGGTGACAGTGAGGGAGTCCCGGGCCTCTTTGGAGCGGTAGTGGTAGGTGGTGTAGAACTCCCACACCAGCTCTGTGTAGGTGGGCTCGTCGATGGTCAGCAACGTCCGCCAATCACGGTGGCTGATGGCGGTGGAGAGCTCATTCAAGCAATGGAGCTGCTTGAAGACTTCCCACTCCAGATGGTGATGACGCTGGAGCACTCTGCGGGTGACCTTGCGGAACTGGTTGGCGTACTCCGGGTGCAGGCGCAGGTCCTGCATGAACGGGTGATCAAGCGACATAATCCTGCAAAATCAACAAACCAAAGGTGGAGACAAGAAAATAATCGTCAGGACCAATAGTATGGGTTCATCACTTCCCCCACACTTAAGGACCACCTGAGCTAACAGTTTAAGCAAAAACGATTGAATCGCAAGCAACACAACCGCAAACAATGCAAGAATCTAGCATAACCAACCAATTCAATCAGACGGGTAACACACACACATTATCCATTCATACTCAAGGCATCCCTCACCCTATTCTAATTCAAGCATGCCAGGCATAACACAGTTCTCAGTCCTAAAATCTACAGTTCGATTTTCCAGAAAAAGAACAACTAGCAAGAAACACACCTGGAAACTCAAGTAGAACAGTAGAGGGACGCGAAGAGAGGGTGAGGAACACAAAATTACACCCAAAAACATACCGGAAAGCTCGCCGGAAGCGGCCGGAAAGTCACCGAAAAATTGGCGGACTGTCGCCGGAAAATGGCGGCGGCCGGCGGCGGAGGCACAGCGGCCGGCAGCGGAGAGACGGCGACCGGCGGCGGAGGAGGAGCGGTAGGCGGCGACCAAAGAGAAGAGAGGGTGGAGGAAATGAGAGGAAGAGAGGGGAAGTGTGGGAAAAAAACGAGAGGAGAGAGAGAGGACGACCGGGGGTTTGCTTAAATAGCAAAAATCCCCGGTCGGGTATTCTTGAGGCACGGTCGGGGGTTCAAAACGCGGGCGTACCACGTTTTGGAAATCCCCGACCTTGAATCAAAAATACCCGGTCGGGTATTTTTGGGTCAGGGTCGGGTATTTTGCCTTGTTTTGGAAATTCCCAGCCTTGAACCAAAAATACCCGGTAGGTAATTCTGGGTCAAGGTCGGGGATTTTCCCTTTTGGCGCCCCGAAACACAGAAGGGGGCCCGGCCATGACATAAAAATACCTGGTCGGGTATTTTATGTCACGACCGGGTTTTTCCCCTTTTCGGCCAAAGTCTCATTCTCTCAATTTTTTGACCTCCCTTGCACGACAACACCAAACTGAGACAACACAGACGACCGGACTTCAACACAGACGTGCAAGTGACTCAAGCATGACACAAAAAAAAAACACAAAACAAGGGAAAAAGAAATGCAAACCATGGTGGGGTTGCCTCCCCACAAGCGTTTCTTTACCGTCTTTTAGCTGGACGCCCATGGTGGATACTCAGAGGGGTGCAGGAACAAGTGCCTCCAAGAGCGGATCCACATCGCTCTTGAGGTACAGCTTCAGATGGTGGCCATGCACCCGACGGGTGCGGAAACCAGCATTTGTCAGCTCGACCTGGCCATCCGGCAAGATGCAAGCGAGTGAGTACTCGGATGGCCAGCGTGGTCGTGGTTCAGGAGGTGGGACCAGCTCTTAGTGGTCAGCAACCTTCTTCCGATCAGGTCGGGCTACTTGCGACTTCGGCCACCACTCCTCCTTTGTCGTTTGCTTTGGTGATGCACCCGAAGGGAGTGACGGCGAGGGAGTGAGAGGGGGACCCTGCAAAATGAAAGATGCATGAGGGTACACGACAGACTCGTGCACCTGGTGAGAAATAGCATGCATATGTGTGACAGCAGGCATATCACAGTGTGATGACTACTCCGTGGATTCTTATTATTTAGCAGTGAAAGTGTAGTGAAGGTCCAAACAAGCAAACAAGCATAGCAGTAAAAAGTTGTTTTCAAGTTGAGAGAGGTCACCCGGATATGGTTCCCCCTAGACTGTAGTTAAGCCAGATTGTAATTTACCAAGTTCAAATTCAAAGATAGTTATACTGCGGAAGGTTCTTATGCAGTCTGCAGTCTCGACTAAAGGTCTCCAGACCCTCTCAATCTGAGTCTCCAGCGGGCGACTAACCTCCACCGGAGTAAACAGATTGAGGCCCTAACGAACCAAACCTCCACTGCTGAAGTAAATCCGGTACATAATAGTGGATCGACTCCTCGACTAAAGTCGTCAATTCACTACCTTTAATCAAGGGTGCTCTATCAACCTAGGCAGATATTCTCTTACTAGGTCAAAGTAGAAACAACGGGAATTTGATCAGGATTCATGTCATCTAACAAATCAGACCTCAATTGAATATAATCTAATCAATGGATTCATGCTTGGGTTCATACAATCAGACATAACATACAAATCTAGGGTTCTTCATACCCACGTGAATGTGGAAGTTACTCCATGGAGAGAGAAGCAAACTCTAGCTCACAAGCAAAAATCATGCTGTGAAGAATGGGGTTCTGCTTCTGGTCGGCAATCGGCACTTCTCCCAGCATTATCTGAGCTCCACTGATGATGAAGATCAATCTAGGGCGCTTGGTAACTCTGGTTTGTCGCTCTCTCTCTCTCTCTCTCTCTCTAGGTATCACTTTCTTTCTCTAAAACTCGGAACCCTTCACAATTAGCCCTCTTTTTCCTTGAGAACCTGCCATTCGCGATCCCCGGTCAGAATCCCCGGTCGGGTATTTTAGGTGATCGGCGGGGATTTTTGAAACGCACCGCTTCGGACAGAGGATTAATCCCCGATCAAGGTCAAAAATACCCGATCGGGGATTTAAGCTCAACGCCTGCGCCCCCTTCTGGACTCAGGGCTCCCAAAATCGATATTCCCCGGCCTCCTCAGAATTATACCCGGCCGGGTATTATTGCTCATGACCGGTTATTTTGCTCTTCCAGCACCCTTCTACTCCAACGTCCTCCTTTTGACCTGAAACTCGTTTCTTCGCCTCAATGCCAACGCCAAGCCCTGAAATATGACATACACACACAACCTAGCGTGAAATCGGCTTAAAACACGAGAATCAACATCTCAAGCGACTCAAGGACAGGGGTAAAAACATGTGCAGTCAATGGTCAACGTGCTTTGTCATTGGAACCATATAAAGCGATACCCAAAGCTTCTATTAATAAAAAAACGGAACTTCCTGCAGTATATAAAATAAACTTTGTAGGAGAATACAGACGTTTTTTTCCTCCCTACATAGATAGAAGTACATAAACAGGAATTTTTCTAACTCCCACATAATGAAAAAAAGTAAAAGATCTTGAGAAGAAAATAATCCTATTTGACCGCTATACATTGCTAACATCGGAAAATAAAATAATCGGGAATCCCGAGTAACCGGCCAAGCGGCTATATTTTATCGTTCCTTTCTAACCACAAAAACCAACAGATTGCATGAAGCACAGTTGCTCTAAACTAGCCTGATGGCGAAGACAGGTACCTGAGGGCCACTGGCGAATTACATCTGAGATGTCACCAAGCTGATATCCCCCTCTTGTAAAAAGAAGAAAAAAAAATTCTCTCCACCAATTCGAATATGAGATTTCCATTTCATCTAGAGATCTGGGGGAATGGATCAAGTCAGTAACCTTATGGTGAGTAACCTTATGGCGAGTAACCTTATGGTGAGTAACCATGAGTAACCCGTCTACATCACCATGACATCAGCATCCTCTCTCTCCTGGAAAGCCTTTAATTTTCCCTTCTTTAATCTTTGACGGATGATTTCTCACTCATTTTAAGTCGAAATTTAATTTTTTTTGCACAGTTAGATCAGATTAATTGTGCTCTTCAAAATGATATCCACTTTAATATATTTTTTGACCAAAAAAAAATTGAGCCATTTTTTACCAGTCTATACCATATGGTATTGACTGGTATTGAAATAAAAGCATACCTATGGTTTGAAAAAAGTACCATGGTGGTATGAATAAACCAAGAGTGTAGGATGGTTGAATACATGATAGTAGAAATATATTAATTGTCATTTACGACTTTTAACATTGTATACCACAAGATACCACCCCGTACCAGGGTGGTATTGTATGGTATTGTGTGGTATTTTTTGGTCCTGTAATTTGTTCACCCAGAAATTTGTAGATCCAATAGATCATGATGAACTCGTCCCTTCTGTGCAAACGTTTTCAAAAACGAATTAAAAACGAAGAAGATACCATACAATACCACCCCGTACCAGGGTGGTATTGTATGGTATTGTGTGGTATTTTTTGGTCTTATAATTTGTTCACCCAGAAATTTATAGATCCAATAGATCATGATGAACTCGTCCCTTCTGTGCAAACGTTTTCAAAAACGAATTAAAAACGAAGAAGATACCATATGGTATGCAGTTGGTACCGAGAGGCCAGAATCTTTTTTTCTCAAAAAATATTGAAAATTGATCTCATTTTGTAGAGCACGATGAACTCGTTCCATCTGTGAAAAAAAAAAAAATCCGAATTAAAACGAAAAAGATATGAGTCAATTAAGAAAACTAGAAAAAATAAAAATGATCTTTAATTCTTCCTCATTTGGTCTGAATCTTCTAAATAAAGGGTCCAGATTTGGTTATTGATGGGTGCATAACCCGAGCCGAGATCTGGAGTTCGAAATCGATAACCTAGTACAAACCAGATATATATATGACAATAACAACATTTAATACAGCTCCGAATGAGCAATTCCGACTTGAAAACCTCCATTTGATACCAAATCAAACTGGAAGGACCGGAATGCTCTGCTCATGCCTGAACAAGTTGCTAGGATCGAACTTGGTCTTCACTTGGACCAACCTATCGAAGTTGTTCTTGAAGTACTTCCGACCCCAAACACTTGCCTCGCTAAAACTAGTATTGCCCTTCTTGTTCATCCCCAAATCCAGATCCCTGTAGTTGACATACGAAGTCCTCGGATTCTTAGAAACATAGGGAGCCAAGTAGCTGTACAGCTCCCTGATCCAATCCAAGTGTTTACCCTCGCTCGCCTTCCTGTCTGCCCAACCCGTTGCATAATGAAGCATGAACAATGTCCCCTTCCGATGAGGAAACGGCGTCGCCGATTCCGAAACTCTGTCCATCTCCCCTCCGTAAGGAGTCCATATCGCAAACGGATTGTCCTCCTTCAACAACCTCCTCCACATCCCTTCCATCGCCTTCACCGGAATCGGCTCCCTCACGTAGTCCGACTTGGCCTTGAAAAACAGCGGGGTCAGAAACCACTTCCCCTGCAGAAGAAACTCGGGAGCAACGGTGTTGGGTATTCCCCCAATAAACATAACGGACCGGATCCAGCTCATCTCCAAACAATCCTTTTTCTTCAGACCCAATTCCGGAAAATTGGAACCCATGATTCTCAGCAGCCGATCGGAATTACCCAGAAACAGGGCGTTGAACGTGGCTGTGACGGTTCTCTTGGTCGAATTAGCAATCGGGCCGGCGCTGACCACAACCCTAACGAATAGGTCTTCGTGGAGATGAGGCGCGACTTGCTGCCACTTGAAGAGAAGCTTGGTAGCGTTCTGTTCTAATGTCCTGGGAACGTCGAACACCGTCACGGTTTTAGGGACGGGGACTAATTTCAACTTCCAGGCGACAATCACGCCGAAGCTTCCCCCGGCGCCGCCTCGGATCGCCCAGAAAACGTCTTCCCCCATTTTCCGACGATCCAGGAGCTTGCCGTTGGCGTCAATTATGTGGGCATCGAGGACGTTGTCAGCTGCCAGGCCGTATTTTCTCATCATGGAGCCGTATGCTCCGCCGATGATGTGGCCGCCGATTCCCAAGCTGGTGCAGAGCCCGGCGGGGAAGCCGTGGGTGGGGATTTTTTGGGAGATTCGGTAGTAAGCCTCGCCGGTGGTGGCGCCGGCCTGGACCCAGGCGGTGTTGGAAGCTACATCGACATTGACTTTGCGGAACTTGGAGAGATCTAGAACGAAAAAGGGGGACTCGATTTCGGCGGCGTAGGAGAGACCCTCGTAGTCGTGGCCGCCACTGCGAACTCTGAAGTGGAGCCGGAGCTTTCTGGCGCAGATGACGGCGGCTTGGATGTGCGAGATGCGGAGTGGGCGGAAGATGAGTAGGGGCTTGGGGACGGTAGGGAGCAAGTAGCGGGGGTTCTGAGCAGGGTTTGAAAGGACGGAGGTGAAAGCAGAGGAATTGGCGGCAGGGGTGAAGAAAGTTTCGGAGAATGGGAGTGGAGATTTGGAGTTATCGTTGAGACATTGGTGAAAGGTGGATTGCAATGAAAGTGGTGGTGAAGATGCTACAAGGGAAGGTGAGAGTAGAGGAAGAAGAAGAATGAAGAGAAGCAGGGGAGGCGCCATTTTCAACGGGAGCAAGTTGAGGTAGATCTTGATAGAGAATTCTCCGAGCACATTCATCAGACAGACGTTATAAGAGGTTAAAAGGTTTAATTAGGGCTGGCATTTCGGTTTGCGGTTAGCGGGTAACCGCCGGTTTTAACTGAAAACCACCGGTTACCAGCTAACCAAAAACCGACCGGTTACCTTAACGGTCGGTGGTCGAATGGGAAAAGGAAGGGGTCGGTTGACCGAGTAACCGACGTTGATTAACCGCAGTTATCCGACTAACCGGGCCAACCGAGACCCACCTCACCTTCTCCAAAATATGTCCAGATTCATCCCATTCCCAAATCTTCAATCAAAAAAAAAATCCCAAATACAGGAAGAAGAAGAAGAAGCAGATCTACACTCTCAGCAGCCGATTCTTGTTTCCGCCGCCGCCATCGCCGCAGCCATCGAAGACGCCGCCATCCTCTTCTCCACAACCTCCGACTCCCTAGCGGAATCCACCACTCCCTGCAGTGACCTCTTCTTCTCCTCTCACCCGCGAACAAAACCCAAAAGAAATAACACAGATCAAAAACAAAAACCAAAATCAAACCCTCAAAATTCGACATGCAAGTGAGAGAACTTGATCTCACCTTCTTCTATCGTCGCCTACCATCGTCTTGCCCGCTCCGCCGCCGTCTTGCCCTTCTTCCCGTCGGTGAGGGACGAAAGAGGCGAAAGAGGATGTCGGCGAGTTCCGCCGCTGATCCGTCGCCGTCAACGGGGAGGCAGAGGGCAGAACGAGAGAGGTGAGGATAGGAGGGAGGCGATTTCGGGGAGGCAAAGGAAGAAGAGAATCAAGATTCCAGAGAGAGTAGGGAGAGAGATAGGTTTTCGTTTTACTCTGGAAACTGGAAAGGAAGAAGAATTTTCGGGAGAGAGAGTAGGGAGAGAGATTTGAGAGAGAGTAGGGAGAGAGAGAGGGCCGAGGGGTTAGGACTCCTAATGAGTGGTGCAACTTTCGGTTTTTAATTTTTTTTTTTGGAAAAGGTAATTTCCGATTGGCCGGCTAACCGAGCCTAAAACCGAAACCGACCGGTCGGTTGGCCGGCTAACCGTGATCACTCTCACGGTCGGTGGTCGGCAGGTATGCAGGGTGGCTCGGTTTAATCAATAACCGGAATTTCAGTTTTCGGTTAAACCGAAACCGACCGACTGCCACCCCTAGGTTTAACTATCCATTTCCCAACAACTCAACTCGAATTATTAGAATCAAGTGATTAGCTCGCTAACATGGTATGTGTTTAGCTTGCTAACAGACATCGGACATGATGAGTTTTTATTTATAAAATGTCACCCAAGTCCATCCATCAAATCTAAAACATCTGCCCCAATCCGATGAAAGCGCGGCGCTCTGACCACATTCTAACAAACACCCTCTGACTTGCAACGTTTGAGGCGTAATCCAGAAAGTAACAATACCTCTGAGCTTATTCGTTTACTTTCATCTAGATGACTGACTATAAAGGGAGCTTGATAGAGCCATTTCAACAAACATGGAAATAAAATAATTTGGAACATACAGGCAGCAGCCATCATGACCAGCAGAAGGCCTGCTGCCTTTACTTGCTTCTTACAATTCATCATACTAACGTATTTACCTATTTACGGCACCCTTCTTTTTTTGCCATAGATCAGTACAAGAGTACAAGAGATTGCAATGAAAGAGCCCATTTACGGTACCCATTCACCTGCAGCCTACAGGAATAATTTAAATTTGTATTACCGTCTATGCCGAATTCAGGTGAACTTGAGGTTAAAAAAAGCTCTGCTCCACCCAAAAGCCGAACGTTACTCAGAAACCACAAAATGCCCTGACAAAAAAATTTACAGTTATGCTCAGTGCACAAGAAAAATGCAAAATCAAGAACGGGATTAGCAGAGCATCTTCAAGCTCCACCGAAGCCGTAAAAGAGCTAATGCCGAAAGGTTTCTGGTCAAAAAAATCAACTGCGATTGCAGAAGTCATGAGCCTGCAATCTGAGATTGTAGGAAGCTGAGAGAGGTGGTACGTTGATCCTTGCTCAAACGACAAATCCAGTCTCTGACAAGACGTATCATGTCAGGCTGACATGCAGCATCTGCCAAGCAACTGAAATTCTCATCAGTGACCTGCTCAAAGCCGAGAGGTTGAAGCCTAAGCAGAGATGCGACAGTGGCCATTTGAACTGGGATAATAGATTCCTTGGTCAACTGTTGGCGCAAGAAGCCAGATAGTTTGCTTTTCAGGCTCTCGACTCCTGCATCTTCGTAACCAGAAGCAGCAACCCCAAACCTGAACAATGTGAAATACGGAACTGTCAGCAGATTATTAAGCAACAGCCATGTTATAAAGTATAACTCCTACATAAGGATATCATTTGTGACTCCTGAATGAAATGTTTGTGAAGTGTCATCTGTAAAACTTGAGTGAAAAGATCGTGCTTCCATTTAAGGTTTACAAAGGACAATTGTCGAATTCACACGACGGGAAATAGCAATTTTGGTATTTAAGTATAAAAATCCAGGATGTAGAGTAGGCACGTTGACTTCTAAGTATATAAAAGAATGATCGGCAGAAATAACAATAGCATAGATGTGGTGGTGAAATACCTCCCAAGTTGACCAAGGAAAAGAAGAACAGCAATCTGGAAGGTGCTTGACAGAGGTCTCCCCATAATTTCCAGCAGCTCGGGTACTATTTTGCTTTGCGTCCATTCCCAACCCTTCGTACATAGAGAACACAGGTTAGTACTTGGTACAATATAAGCCTTCAGAAGAGCCAAACTAACTTTCAACGGCTACTAGTTCATATCCAGACTCAGCGCAAACAGAAGAGAATTAAATGAGTATTTCTCAAAACACGAGCTGCAAAAAATTAAAAAACAAAACGAAAGTACACCAAAAGAAAGAAATGGAAAACTAAGGAAACCGCATACCATCTTGCAGGCCACAAGCTCCAATAATGACAGGACATTGCTTGTATCACCTAGTGTTGCATTCATGATAGAGTTTGACTGACCAATAGCTGAGTCAACTTCATAGTGCTCACGATACACTACTTTGGCCTCAGAAGAGCTATTTGATTGCCTTCTATGCTGTTGTATGGCTCCAGAATCAACAGAACTCCAGAGTTTTTCCAGTAGGACAGACGTAACTATATCTACCGATACTGCGCCAAATGGGCATTTCGTGCATCCGTCAAACTGAAGTCTAGTAGCTTCATTGGATGAAAGACAAGTATGAATTGGAGTAACCCGTGAACTTCTTTCAAGCCAGCCTACTATTGATCTCACCACATTCATGGTCAAACCATAGTCGCTAACAGAGAAATACTGTTCCCCAACGACCCGAGCAAAGACATGAAGTATGGTCAATAGACGAGCAGCATCAGGTCCAGATTTATGTAAAAGATTGAAGGAAGTGTCACAGACAAACTCGACATGCCCAGTTGATGCACAGATGGACGATAGCAAAGCACTCCCGATCAGCAACTGCTCCACTGTAGCTAATTTAGTGGAGAACTTCGGCTCTTTGTCACAAGGTACAACATCGCATTTTGAATTCCACTCATTCAATGTCTCTGAAGATATATTGCTGCAATCAACAACTGTCCCGTTGATGAGAAAATCCTCAATGGTGCCAAGCAGTTCATGCAAAGAGCACACTCCCCCAAACAAGCTTCTTTCTCGAGAAATTGATGTCACTGTTGAAATTGGAAAGAGGGAAGACTTAGAACAGCAAGCTATATTTGGCTACATTAGAACAAATTAAGCACCAGATTTGGGTGGATTTATTTGTTTCGTTTAGTTTTTTTTATCCCTAATATATAAATTGAAAAAGTAACTCAAACAAACACTTCAACTCTAAATTTGTAGAATAACTCTTCATGATGGACTCCGCAAATTATTAACGGGCCAAATCACTAAAAATTTATCATTTTCCAATTTTGACCTCTTTGAAGTAAGAATTTACTCTCAAAGTTACACCAATGATATAGTTTTCGAGGATATGGTTTGTTTATCACTAAAAAGTGAAAACAGTGCTTCTATAGAAAAGAAAAACTCCACTTTTTATGAAACCTTACAGAACACCTATTTTATTCTCGTCTTAAGACTAAAACTGAACATTAAGGAAAAGAATAATCAAACACAACGCAAAATGGTAAAGAAAAAGATCGCGGTAAGCTACTAAATGTAACAAAATGATGCACATTGCGAAATGACAGCAAATACCTGGTTTTAAGTCTCTGACCAAAGAATCTACATGAACAGTCAGATCCTTATATCCAATCCTTCCCGAATCCGCCAACTTCAACGCTGAGAAGTTCCACAACAACAATGTGAAGAGTACACAACTTCTCTCCCTGGAAGAGATGACGTGAAGGTGAGGATCAGATAATACAGTCAACATCAAAAACTCTCCAAGAAAAGCACAAGAAAGATAACATTGTAACCTTGTTGCTCATCAGTTACCTTGATGGCATTGTTCCCTGGGTTGTGACAGCTTGCAGGATTCTCTCCAGCATGGAGTTTGCTCGAGTATTTGAGCTGCAGTGAGCCATACAAGCTCGTGTGGAATGTAAAACCTGGTAAATGCTTCGGGTGTCAACAACAGAAGTTACACAGTATGCAGGAATATGTGATGTCTCAATTCCGTATCTAGAGTCCCGAGGCCAACAATCCATAGTCTTTTCTGCTTCGACAGATTGAACACGGACATCACGAATTACACCATCATTCTCAAGCATAGAGTCTTCATGGGAGGTTGTAGGGTCATTGCCTCTTGATGCATCGCAGTGCATTTCTACATTAATGGCAGGAGTCAAAGAGTCATTTTTATCAAGGACGCTTCGAATCTCAGTCTTCCTTGACTCATCCTCACATGATACAAAAGCTTGGGAAGAATATATATCAGGAAGCGTAGGGGACAGAGGCCTGTTCATTGCATTCTTGTATATTTCTTCCTCATTGATGTCATCTAAATCCAGTAATTTCATGTAGTCCCCATCAGCTATACCCTCAAAACTGGGCGAAGTGTCCCCACAAGCCTGCGCCACCGTGATAAAAGCATCATTGGGATAAGAATATCCTGTACCATTTGCATCATTCACAACTTGCTCCCTCACCATTTTCCTGTTGCCAGGTTCATCCACAGCAAGAAAATATGGCAAAACTACATCCTCCTTGGGAGATAACTTTCTCCTCTTGTGCAGCCTCTCATGTTTAACAGAAGAACCATATAAATCTGTTTGCGCTTCCAGAGGTACATCCTTTTGGCCATTCAACACTTGATCCAAGACATGGATTTTCTCATTCATCTGTAGATGCAACTTTTTATCCTCCATGAATAAATGCTTGACAGATTCAATAGTATCAAAAGCCAATTGGTCCTTCCAATTGTGATGATTACTGGTAATAGTCATGTTTTTATGCAACCCCTTAACCGCAGCAAACATAAAGGGAACTGTCTGTTGGGTGTCAAAATTATCTTCAACCAATTTCTCAGATGATAAAACAAAAGCACCCCTGTCCTGTGAGCGGACCAACTCACCATCAGAAAAAGATGTCGAACTCGAATTCATTGCAGAATGTGGTAACAACTTTGGGTTAGAGCTTCCATGCAGAGACTTCAATTCAGAATCAATACCTGTGCAACTAGGGTTGAAAGTTTCACTTCCATTTTGAGTATTCATTTGAAATGGTTCAACACGACATGCTTTTCTCGCCACCTTCAAACATTGTACGTCTCCAAGTCCTCCATCCTGAAAAGCAAAAAAACCAAATAAGTAAGCGAACTGTTGATAGACTTCTCATATTGGGATCACAAAAAGGGAGGACAACAGAGTGAACCAAAAACTCCAAAAAAAACACAGAACCATTCCACAATAAATACACCGCTAATATAGCGAAAAGCACGGGTGATGAATGGCCAACAAAGAACAAGATGCCATGGATATGAAAGAGTCACAAGGAAAGAACATTTGGGAGATCTAGTTTCTAATAAAAATCAATGGTGACGGATCAAGATAACTACCAGCATCCTCAAACAACACCCTGATGGTGATAAAAAAAAAAATTCACCAGACAGTTCTTGAAAAAGGTAGAAGCAAAGAGCAAAACATTATGCACAGTAGACTTCATTACAGGTAAAAACCTTTAATTCTGAACTCAAACAAAGATTCAAATGGAAAACCCACCATGTGATGTAACAACCACATGAAAGTACACATGGGTCCCTCCAGCGTAATCACCTGTCTCACTCATTTCTAGAAAAAAAACATTAACAGCAGTATCCCTTCACTGCTTGCATCGGCACCTTGATAACAAGAAAGGTAAATGGGCCTCAGATTAAGCACAACTAGCGCAGAACAGGGGGAAAAAATCCAAACCCTAATCTGCGGCGGGCACTACTAAGAGGATGAGATACCGAGAATGAACACATTTACCAAAAGATTCCTACTGAAGAACAGCTCAAAGGAAGTAAAAATTATGAATGTCACAAAACCAACCTTTTTCGCGTCTGAAATACCTTCAACGCTTGGGGAGAAATATTTACCCACGACATCCAAGCGACACGAAATTCGTGCAAAATCATGCCTCAGGTTACCTAGTTCTTGAATTAGAATGGCACTACGATTTTTTTCAAACTTAACCACTTGTTTGGCATGCTTATACCGCATCTTTTCAAGCTTCAATTGCTTTTCAAGAAGCTTCGCCTCTTTGACTTTCGCAGGGGAAATGCCAGCAAATTCAGGGACATTTAGGGAGTGAAAAAGCTGGTGTACACATTTCTGCAACTCCTTATTCTTAGCTTTATAATCTTCTAACTGGCGAGACAGGTCATCTGCAAGAGATTTTTCCTTCGCAGCCATCTTAACATTTGCTTCAGCAAGCTTCCTCAGGTCATCTGCTTTGGCACTTTCAGTTTCTACCAGTTGTCTCGCTTTGATCACATTTTGCCTTTCCATTTCCAGCTCTTTCTTCATCTTTTCTGTCTGAGAGGCCAATTTTGATTGCATTGTAAGGAATTCTTTTTGCAAACAATCCAACTGATTTCGAAATCCCTCAGCCTTTGTTGCTTCACTCTTAGCAATCTTACTTTCAGTGGTCAGCTTAGACTTTTCAGCTTTCAACTGTTCGCATGCTTCATCAGCAAACTTCTTATGCACTTCCACTTTCTTCTTTTCAGAATCCAACTGCATCATGCCTTTATTAACAAGTTCCTTTAGTTGCTTAATTTCTCTTTCCTTATCATGCAGAAGACCTCTATCCTCAGCTCCTCTCTGCTGTAAGCAGCAGATTTGAGACTTTAAGGCCATAATCTCTTCTTCCAAAGAGACTCTTAGAGCAACTAATCTACCTTTTTCCTCTTTTTCAACTACTAACATTGACTTAGTTTCTTCCGCTTCTTTCAGTAGTGCCTGTAACTGGAGCAGACAGCCTTCAGCCTTTTTTTCATTAAATAACCCGAGCCCCCTATCTGCATGAGCATGTCCTGGACTAGCATTTACAAGCCTTTCAGACGCATCCCCAGGCTTCAGCTCGGCAATATCACTCTGAGAACATTCCTTTTCGTCGAGTTTCTCAACATGCCCCATAGCCAAATCTGTCTCCAGTTCCCTTCCACAATCATTTTCCTGAAGGACGTTTATGTCCCGTTCGGTCTCTCGAACATTAGCAGTACTCTTCTTTAAGAAAGAGATTTCAGACATCAGAGCAGACACTGTGATCTCCAAAGAAGCTCTTGCGGCTGATTCTTTCTCTTTCCCCTCTTTCTCCTGAAGAAACTTCATGTTTGCCTCATCAACTGCTTTCTTCAAAGACTCCAACTGAACTAAACGTTCCTCAGCAATCGCACTTGCAGCCTTTACTTGATTAGAAGCTTCCATAGAATTCTTCCTTTCTGCTTCTGCCGCCTTAGTAGCAAACTCTGCCCTTGTTTTCTCTTTCTCAAGCAAGTCCCTCAGCCTACCTAATTCCTTATCTCGTTCAGAAGCCCCATCTTTAAAAAGCATGAACTCCTTCTCCTTCTGTCGAAAATCTGCACATTCTTTCTTCAGTGCTTCCAACTGGATCTGGTAATCCTCGGCCCTCTTTCTCTCTGTAGCAGTACACTTCATCTCTTTGTCAGCCCTAGCCTTCTCAGTTTTCATGCTCTTCTGTGCCTCAGCAGCCTTTCTTTTCTCTGCATCCGCATTCTTCTTCTCCGTAACTGCCCTTTGAATCTGTTTATCAAGAAGCTCTTTAAGTTTACTAGTCTCCGATTTCCCTTCAGAAACTTGTTCGCGAAGGAGTTTTATTTCCCCATCCTTGCCTTCGGTATCTAAATTTCCTCTCTGGCGCAAGGAGGAGACCTCCGACTTCAAAGCAGAAACCTCCTTCTCAAGAGAAAGACTGACCTCGAGTTCCTTCTGTTTTCTCTCACACTCATTGGCAGCAAGGCCCCGTGCTTCCTCGCATTCTGGAATACGTTCAATTACAGGAAATCAATTAAGCCCAGACCAGAAAACTTATCATTTCATAACCTAGTGTCGAAAGTTCATAAAAAAAAAACATAACCAGCTCAAAACAGCTGCATCTTCCAGAGGAGAATGCATCTGAGAATCACATTCTAGCATCTCCACGATGCCTTTGATTTTGCTTTTTCATCCTCGAACGATCTAATAGGAAATGAGAAAAGAAACTCACCTTTCTTAAGGCGGGCATTCTCTTCCTCAATCTTGTTAATCGATTCCTTTAGGATGGCCACCGCTTTCTTCAGATTCTTGCGCCCCTCCACCAACTGCGAGCACTTCACACTCAACTGCAAAATGAGACCACAAACATCAAACTCACCTACAGCGGAAACGAATTCGGAGAACACGAAACACAATTGATTCACGAGTAATAAGAGGCAGGCAGGAACACATCCACTTACCTTCTCACAACAGGAACCTACACCCGCCTCCTTCGACGCGACACCCTCCTCCATTGCCTACGGCTACACGCACAGAGAACAAACGGACTGCTCCGTTGAGCGCCTTCTCGGAATCGCTAAGCTCAGCATACAGACTAGAGCGAGGCTTCGGAATCAGGATCCTCCATTAGGAGCAATTTCTGGTTTGTTGGGAGAGTTCAACAGATAGATTCAGCGAGCGAATGGGAAAGCCCTAAACCCATGGACCCGTAGCCAATCGAAGAGAAACCCTAGCGGTCAGCGTCTGGCCGGTAGCAACAACGGGTAATGAACCGTACAACCCAACAGATGGACCGATCCTCTTTTTTTGAATGATGAACCAGCCGCCCGCCTTCAGTTCCGGCAAATCGTTCCGACGAAGAAACCCAGGGGATATAAGCCGGGCCTTGTGTATGCGTCATCGTCTTCCCGATAAAGCCCAAATAAATATGATTGGTTCTCCCTCGCTCTTGCTACCTTTTGTTTAGCAACACTTCCTATATATGATGGGCTTCAGTTGCGGACCCAAAATAATTAGTCATACTGCGAGCCTGCGACCGCAATCGATCTTGAAAATAAACTTAAAATAAAAAATGGAAAATGAAATTTACTCTAAGTAACTAGCAGAGGGGCCGGCCTGTTGGCCGGCTAGCTGGATTAAATTAGTGATTGTTTTTGGGTCGATCATAGAAGCCCATTAGTCCAATTTGAAACCACAAAGGCTATCTGTTGCATTTCTATTATGTTTAGCCCAAATTGAATTATAATTTCTTTTTTCTTTACTGTATTTATTAACCTAAACTTAAATACACAACAACCAAATTGGGAGGAAATGTTTCCTCTTCCTTCTTCCCTGTTACGCCTCTGTTCACTCTCCGATGAAACCAGCAAGCGGAGAAAAACTCCTTGCATGGATGCCCTCCCCTGCTCCCCTATCTAAATGCCAACTTTTATTCTGATTGTGGGAAGGTGATTTCTGTAAACCCACCTCGCAACTTCTCCCAGTCAACTTCTTTTTCTCCCGATTTGCTAAACCCTTGGCCTTGGATAGCTTTTCTGTGTTTCAATCAGAGATTCCCAGCAAACACTTGCCAGCTCCACAAGTACGTTAGTTTCCATACTTTTAGATACAATGTGGTTCCATTTATTAAAATAAGCGGCATTATATATTCTTATTTATTTAATCTTGACGTAGGATTGAGCAGTACTTCAGGACGCATTTATCAAAGTTGTTTTCTTAGAATTTGATTACGTATTGCCTATGGAATACAACTAAGACACTGGTTGATGAGAAAAGGACCTGCCAAGAAAATTTCGAGTGAGCAAGGCATTAGATCAAACGAAGCAGCATCATGTTCCATAACAAAAACTCTGACGAATTGGCAGAGTCCTCCTCTCTTTCGTATTGTTTACTTCTCTTCTTTTGTACATGTTTAGTTTATTAGTGTCAGTCCAAATTGCAACACCTCAATTATAAAATGCTTCCCTAAACCTTACAATTATTTAAGTAATTAGGAGAATTCAATTAAAAAACATATTGTTAGAATTCAACATTGGAAAGGGGATATGTGTTAGCGGTCTAGAACAACAACTGATATTATTTCTTTGAATGATCCTAAACACGACAGGTTCTTGAAAGAATAGAGATTGATCCGAAGGAAATCAGAAACGCATATTGACCAACATGGACATCATATCTCAATGGAATCCGTAAGTATTGCTGTTCTAACCCTATATAATATCATATTCTTGTGTTCTCCTAGATAGTGAATGCAATTGCTAATTGTTTAAATTATAGGTTTTTTACCCTCGGTGATGATTTCGTTGTGAATCTGAATTATCAAAATGTCGTAGCTATGTCTGAGATTGTTGAAACCATAGATCTTATCCCAAAGCAATTAGATGGTGACAATCAGGTGACTAAGATAATATATTTGTTATTTATCCTTCTCTATTCCTTATGTTATTAATTTGTATCTTATTTGTTTACTTTTGCAGGGCACTTCATACATTTTCTCTGGTCGTGTAATAGAGCTGAGGAGGTCTTGGTGTGATGCATCCAGGGTATTTTTTATTCACTTGAGCATTAAAGATGATATAACTGATGTTGAGGTCGTTTTTCCATCATCATATTTGCGAAGAATCATTTCTTCTGTAGTCAATCCTTCATAAATTGACAATGCCGATTATGTTACACTTCTCAACTTGATTGGTGAAAAATCATATGAGGCCATGGTCACAATTGGTCCTTGGAACGACGTGGGGAATTATTTTGATATATTCTTGGTGAAACTGTTCTTCCCATCGGATAACTGAATAGCATGTAGGTATTGTTAATATGATCGGATTAATGTAATTAGTGGTACACTCCTATGTTATGTCTCATATTTTGTAAGCGTACTAAATATGTGAACGCTAAGTTATTTTGTAAGTCTAATATCCGTTTTAGGGGTGGTTGATGTAAAATTTGACAAATATAACTTATTGTTGATATTTAGTTATGATATTTAGCTTATTGTTGAGTTAACCATGTACAAAACAAACATCACTGCTACTATTACGGCTTTCTAATCCTAAATTCCTTCATTCATTATAGGAGCTAATGAGCAATCAAATTGGCAAATGGAATTTCGGCATTGAAAATGCCATCATTTGACACTTTACAAATCCCTATACTAATAAAACATAGTACCAAAAGGTAAAAAAAAACATCAAAAGACCTAATTTAATAAAGTACCAAATTAGAAACATAGTTTGAAATGTGCAACTACCCAATTTCGAACGTTCACCAAATGGACATTAACTTACTAAATGATATATGGGGAGGAACACTACCCAAACAACTTACTAACCACTAAAAGACACTGATTTGTGAGCTCATTAACACGTCCAACTTCAATCATGAAAATGAGAGATCTGTGAGTAATAGATCTCAGGTTGGCTTCAAAAGTAGTAGTCCAATCGATTCTTGGGTTCGGGAAGAGCTGGCTGCCTATTTTCTTAAAGTCGGATGACAGGAACACAACACTGATCTTCATAGCTCCATCTTTCAGTGTCAATTCAACCATGTACTTCTGAAAAGTAGGTGTCCAGAATACATTGACAGCTTCAACTGTTGCCTCAATAACAAATTTCTTTCCCTGTGAGTAAATAAATAATTTCCTTAGATAATAGAAATAAATGCTAAAGTAAGCAAGAAGTACACAAACATCATTGTATTAAATTACCATATTGTGCACATGAGTCGATAGAAATAGAATTTCCCGAACAGAACTTGCTTCACTCACTTCCATTGCTGCTTCCAATGAATAGTCAATATAATCATGGTGACTAATAAGCAGGTTGCTAAATCTGATAAACATGTTAGTTGAATTTAGACCCCAATTAAGGAAGATGCAATTATAGATGTATACAAATTGAGTTATCCTAACCAAATTGAATAGAATTCAACCCTAGATATAAAGAAATTAACTTACTGATTCAACAAAATATGAAGTTGTGGATAGTGCAAATTCAAGTAGACATTACTTGCAAATGAGGCTATAAAATAGAATGATCTACAAAAACCAAGTACTTCATTAGAGTAGGTCATTAAATGTATTAGTAGCGCATCAACATATTTACGTACTATCGTTCATATAGGCATAGACTGAAGTGAAGATAGCAACAGTTCCTGGTGCTGGATCAGCTTCATTTAGACCCTCAATTTGCTCAATGCAAGAGTTGAATAGTAAAACTCTGACCGTAATTCCCCTAAAATTAGAATCTCATTAGTTCCATTTTTCAAGCAAACACACAGGAAATTAGAGTACAGATCAAAAAGCCTTACTCAAACAGCCTTAGAAAAACATGTTTGCTTCGTTGAACAACACCATGGTGATAAATTGTTTGTGTTGGTTCTACAACATCTATTTCACCTACCAGATCTACACATCATATCAAGCCAATGTTATGATCATTCAAATAATAACATCAACCATAACTACTTGGAGTTCTCTATTTGGTTAATGATTTGCTTACCTGAAAAAATATGATCATTTTGAACAGCATCAAAGAAATCAGCAGGACCTAGGAACCGAAAGCTGCATAATGATATGTCGGCAGCATTTGGCAGTCGATATAGACCAGTGTTAGGATGAAAAGAGATTCGTCTAGTTGACATTGCAACCCGAAAAGAAACTTCATAAGAATCAACATCGAAATTTTCAATCCGGTAGATTCCTCCTTGTTGTATGGCTGGTAAGAATGTCGGGATTTCAAGGCGATGAATAACAGCCTCCATTTCTGTTCCCTGCAAGTCGTTTTTAAGTCAAAAACTTGAATGGTTAGAAGCTTGTATTGGGTAAATGATACACAACATGAAACGTGATAAGGAATTCAATAGACGTACTAACCTCACTATCTAGCAACAGCATGTGTAGGAAGAGAGTTTCATCTATATCAGCTATCAAAGTCCTCCATAAACGCAAAATTCTCACTCGAACAGACCATTGTTGCCCATGGGAAACCTGCAACTCACGTAAAGAATGGTATACCATGCCTTGGATTCAACTTTAATTCACCTTCACCATTCGATTATTCTGAACTCCAAAACCAGGGAATGGAAGTTGGGAAAGTAACAAAACTATTGTGGATCTTCGGCAATCAAATAACCTGGGCGTGGGATAATATTAGGTGAAAATGGGATTATGTTGGATTAATGTGGGGTGTGGGATTAATGTCCGGGAGGGATGGGGAGAGTGGGTTGTGGTAGTTAATACAATTGATTTAATATTTGTTTTTTGTTTTGAGTAAAGCACAACAAATATAAATTAAATTAAGTGATTTTGAAAGAAAAAAAATCGTCAATTTTAAATTTCGAACTTCTGACCTATTGATGATACGATCAACTTGTAACCGTTAGACTACCAAGCAAGTTTCAATACCTCATCCAGACTTATTACATGTCTATGTTGCATTTTTTAAACCCCACCAATTTTTATTTTTAAAAGTGATTTTGAAAAACAAAATTGTCAATTTTAGGTTTCATACTTTTAACCTTACTGGTGATACGATTAAATTAAGTGATTTTGAAAAAAAAAATGGTTGTCAATTTTAAGTTTCAAACTTTTGACCTATTGATGATACGATCAACTTGTAACCGTTAGACTACCAAGCAATTTTGCTTCTCCTTATCCAGACTTATTACATTTCTATGTTGCATTTTTTAAACCACACCAATTTTTACGTTTAAAAGTGATTTTGAAAAACAAAATTGTCAATTTTAGGTTTCAAACTTTTAACTTACTGGTGATACGATTAAATTAAGTCATTTTGTAAAAAAAATTTGTCAATTTTAAGTTTCAAACTTCTGACCTATTGATGATACGATCAACTCCTAACCATTAGACTACCAAGCAATTTTGCAACAGCTTATCCAGACCTATTAAATTTCTATGTTGCATTTTTTAAACCACACCAATTTTTACTTTTAAAGGTGATTTTGAAAAACAAAATTGTCAATTTTAGGCTTCAAACTTTTAAACCACACCCAGAATATATTCTCCCCCGATGGCCGGATGCAAATGCGTTGAGTAATGTACAATAGTTTGCGATGTAAAATTAGATATGTAAATGTTCTGGGTGGCACGAAAGTGTGAGAATATGGGATATCCGTGTTTTCATTGTTGCTATTATAGTATGGGTAGTCAAAATTCATTTATCTTCTAATTATCCCGTTTTTTCCTTGCATTCTAACAATGTGAGGGTAAATATAGAATTGGTGTACAAATGCAGTGCATACGGTGGATAAATATGCTAATTAGGTAATTGAATGATATACAAAACAGTGGTTTATGAATCACTCTGAGGATTCAGTGGTTTATAATTAGGCAAGTGGAAAACATACAAAAAGTGGAAATTAGGTGCAGTGCATATTGTTTTGCATACGTACCAATAGCTGAACTAAATGGAAGACATACATGTACTTAAAATAACATAAGTATCTGTTCTTCTAAATCAGAATATAACAACTACATCGCAATAACAATATAAAAGTACTTTTCCTACCACCGAAAAGATGAAATGCACAAAATAACATTGGAATTCATATCTCCTAGTTATCATTCCCTTGATTCCTTCTCAGACAACCAACTGATTCATCCCTTAGTCTTACCACCTGAAATAATAACAGAAGTAGAAACTAATTATTAAATGTAAAGCCTCAGTTGTGTTAATAAATAGCAATATTCTCCTGTATTTGAAATAAAAAAGGGAAGACATATACCTTCTTGGATTGCAAAATGAGGACAGTGTTTATAGGTTCAGTTTAAGATCCAGTAATGGTTGAAATGCTTTTGGATGCCAAATTGCAAACATGCGAATCTGTGGTTCAACTTCATATTCTGATCCAATGATGTATACTTCTGCCATGAATTTGATGTTACAGCATTCTTTCAGCATCTGAACTCTCTTGTCATATGGCATTTTTTTAAACTCGATTGGTGGCTTACGAAGCAAAGCAAGAGCAGGTCCATGATTAAGAATGACCTTTGCCTTGTGATTTCTTGATTCACATTCAGTCTGCAGTTCATAGAATAATCTGAAGAAATATGTAGATTAGATGCATTTAGTCAATGTATAGTATTTTTATAATAGGGAATAAAAAAGCAAAGGTATTTGGAAATACTCAGTGTCTCCAGGGAAAACTTCACGGGTAACAGAACCAAGGTCGAATTTGACTATTTTGAGTTTGCACCGATAGAGTATCTGTCATATAGTTTGATATAGGAGAAATACAAAAATTAGAAATAGGTGTTTTTGAAAACACTGCTACTGTTGAAAGTCAATTTGAAACTTCTTTTTATTTGTCAAATATACTTCCTTGACAAATGTATAACAAAGCATAGAAGGTAATGATAGTTACCTCTGTTTCTTCTTCACCTAAAGGCAGCTTGTTGGTCGATTCCAATAATGAGATTCTGGGCAGAATGTCACGCCGAAGGTATCCAAGTCGCTCTTTTGATTTGTAGTCAATGATATCCACAGACAGTCTATTAGGAAAGAACCTAGAGTGTTTTGAAAGTTAAATTAGACTGCTTCTAGGAAAAAACATGCAAAATATATTAAAAGTGAACATATAAATATAACCATTTACCTGTTCATTAAATCTTTGGTCATCTCATTGTACGAATGTACTATAAGACGACTGCCAGGAGATGTTACGAAACAGAACTGTGGAATATGGTCATATTCGTGCATGTTCCGGGTGAGTGTTGTTGCTGTCACAACCAAAGGATAATGAACTTCTTTGGCAGTAGCACTTTCAATGAAATCTTTAATTCTTGAGCCAATATAGCTCACAAGTGCTTTGTTTCCGCTAAAAAGTTTGCAAACGGAGTATAAGTATGATTATACACTAATCTTGATTCAGTAAGACATTATAGTAACTAATTATAAGTGGTACCTCATATCTTCAAGAAATCTGGAACATAGATGTATCAGAATTGACTTTAGCTGGTTCGGTGATATGCGTTACACATCCTGTGATATCTGAAGTATGTAAATATTTTAGTTCTTTTGATCTATGTGATGTTTGGAATATACAATATTTAGCACATCAATTTCTAATACAACCTGTTGAAATCAATGGGTTAAGTATAAACAATGAATACCTAAGAAGCAAGGTGGAAGACTTGTTGAAGAACCACTGCCATTTAAAGGACTTTGAAAAAAAACAATCATCTGGAAAATGCATTGTGCTCCGATATTCGATCATTGCTTTGAATGAAGATTCCTTTGTAAAATACAATCTCAAATTGGAAGGTGCAGTGCGACGCTCAGATCTAGCTGGTATGACAGTTGGATTCATCATGGTATAGAGACAACCAATCTCAATGTCTTTGCAAATATGAGCAGAATCTTCATAGGGTACATTTCCTTCCATAAGTTGTCCCTAAAGGAGTTAAAATGTTACAAATGAGCTTAAAGTAACTGTTCTGTCATAAGAGTAAAACCAGTAGGTGTTCAATGTGTATAATTTTACCTCTTTATCTAACCAAAGCATATGCATGGAGGTAATAGATCTGGTTCCATTTGACTCACATTCTGACCAAATGTTTAACAATCTAGCCATGAGGAAACGGTTGCTTGTTCCAAGATGAAGTTCACGAAAGGTTGTGGATTCAGCCATTACATCTAAAACCAAAAGGGAAACTGAGTCATTATATCTAAAAGCATTCGGACAAACCTCTATTCGACTAATTGTAAGATACCATGTGGGTCTTGCGGCAACATTTTCCCTTCTGTTGTCGCCGAAAATAACAGATTGGTTGTGATAGAGTTTTGGGGCAGCAATAGCTTCTTACTCCAACTGTGAAAGAAGACAAAATGAGGAAAAGAAAGGAAAAGAAATAGAAAGAATAGAATCAATATCTAATACTTGCCGTAAATTATGTATGGGGTCGACTGCTGGAGATGAGGACCAGAATGGCGGCAGCTGCGGGTAAGTAATCTAGGGTTTCCCCTTTCGTGAAAACCAGCTGACCAAGGAGACAAACAGAAGCAACTCTTTTTCCTTTTGTACAACCTCTTTTAGCTGATGGAGGTATTTTATATGGCCCATTTTGTTCGTTATATATCTGAATGGCGACCAAAATTTGATTGGGCTTTGGTTTTGGCCCATTTTATTATAATGATTAACAGGCTTTTAAGTTTTGGGTTTGTTTCTGTGAATAGTAATTGAACATTATGGGCTCTAAATCTTTTTTGCGGTAACATCTCATCAGAACTTGACTGAAATTAGTTTGAGGAAGATTGATAAACCATACCAAATGGGCCATAGAAATTCAGCTCGGGTCTGAATGGCCATGCAACCACGACCATCTCTGGCATCAATATGGAATTTGGAACCATTCCAAAAATTCAAAACAAATTTAGTAATAGTGAAATTAGATATGTATAGGCTACATAATGCCCAATTGAAATATTCAGAAAAAGCTTACGAATCTAAAATATGTTCACAATCCTAAGTCCAAGTGCAAACCAGCAACATTCAGTCCTTAGCAAACACATGACAAACTCTGGAACACAAAACAAATGCAATAAAAAGATACTAGCTGCAACAAATTCTTTGTTGGCGTTGCAATCACTCCAGGGGCATCTTCCTCTTCAGTTTGTTGTCTGGAGTTACATCAGAGTCCACTGGTGTTTCAATCGATTTTTCAGTAGCAGACTGTCCAGACTGATCAGAGCAGGGTTGAGAAGATGCAGGCCCACTCGCAATAGATGAAGATGATCCATCTTTGTGAATCATATAACCTTCTCCCTGAGATTATAATATCCAAATGTAACAGTAGCCAGTAAAGAAATTATAATAGGATTCTTGACTCGGAAAAAAAGATTACAACCTAGATCAATACTGAGATAGAAAACTGATCATAACACTTAATTCTTATTTAAAGAGGAAAAATACTTGCAGGGGTATCTACTGACCTTTGGGGTGGGTTCTAGTATTCTCAGCACAGTAAAATCAGCTTGGGAATCAGCAAAAAGGTTGATCTTGAATTTGACATGGAATTTCTTGGTCAGACCTACCAATTGAAGCAATTCATCAGGTGGCAAGTCACCATTCTGCCCATTTTTCTGGGTTCATGACCACTCAATCCAAAGTACCGCTTCCCTTCATACTCAAAGAGTACAAATACTGCTGACTTCAAATCACTTTGAACTTCAAGTTGAACACGGTATCTACACAGATCACGAATTTCAAATAAAATTAATGGAAGCAATTACAGTTCAATGAGGAAGAATAATGAATGTCAACTAAGTAGGAGATGTTTACTTGGTAGTCTTGGCTGATATTCCCTTGTTGCATCTAACACAATAGTACTCATTTTGCCTTTGTATAGGCTTCAAAACACAGGTAGGACACCACATATAACACCAGCCTGATTTAATTCCAACAACTTTGCATTCAACAACAAACACCATTTCCTAATACCAAATACATTTACTATGAGTCTCTAATGAAATTAAAAAGGAAATAGTATAAGAAATATGAAAGACCATAGAAGTAACCTCCTGGTCTGGATCCTCTTGTAATTGCAAAAGTTCAGAAAATGAAATAACAGGGAATTGAGGAGGTGACGGTGGTTCCACAAAGACAGGCAGCTCTGGTTGCATAGTACTGATTTGAGGAATAAAAAAATCAATAATTAAACAAAAACTAAACAACAACGCAATGTCATAGACGCGGTAGGGTGATGAATACCCGGTAACAAAAGCTTTGACAGCTGGAATATCGAGATTACGATACACAATTGTTGACCCTGATGATGAAAATGATAACTCATCTACAAAAACCAAAAATCAGTCTGGCCTTGCCACTCATAACATTATTAAACGTAAGATAGGGAAGAAATAATAAGGCCACCTTTGAATTCACCCACACTAACAGTTGAAATGACCAGTATAGTCTGATCATCACCATGAGCATCAATGATCTTATCAAACTGTTAAATAACTCTTCCCCAAATAACCACTTTGACAACATCACCCTACATGAATTTGAAATAAATATCTAAGATGTTTCAAAAACTGATCTTGCAAACAAACATGAATGGTGGAATTGCAATAATGCTCCCTCAACAAATAAAAGAAAAACCAACCAGATAGTGAGCAATCAGATTCAACAGAAGTTTTCTAAATGCCTTTCATGTCAAAGATATCAAAGAAACTCACTCAATCAGTTGCAATGTGAGCTCCTTCCTTATAGTTTTCCGGGTAAGGCTGGTAGTAGTAATTGCATCTGAATGTGTGCGCAATTGGCCAACAACATCTACAACAAATCATTTAATAAAATAAATTCAGATACACATTATTTGCTAACTGAAAATACATGTAAGAATGAAGAAGTAACCTGAAAGGATAACAACATGACCCAATTTGCCTGCCATCTGACTTGCATTTAGGAAACTGAATTTGAAGGTCGGAATTGCAGGAACTTCAAGAACATGATGAACAGTTGTCTTCCTACTAAATTGTATCAAATATGGATTCCCAATAGGTCGATATTTCAGTCCAATTGTATTGATATCAAAGTTCTTGATAATGTAAACATGGTTCTCCTTCAGCAACTTCTTAAACTTTTCTATCAACACAGGAGGGATTTGTACCCAGATATCATTGCCCTTCAAAATGGAAACGAAAACTAAAATTTAAAAAACAGTACTCATTTTCGAACAGAAACTTCATATGCCATGAAAGAGGTGATTACCTTTGAATCCATCAGAATGAGGTCCAAATGGAGAACTTTGTCTGTATGTACATTCGCTCCAAGCCACATTCTAGAGACACGACATTGACCTGACAAAATCTTCTTCTCCGACTCGAGGTCGCGAATACTCTGGAATCCATTCTACAGACTCAGCAACAAAAAAACGGAGGTTAGTGAAGAGCTACGGGATTGCAGCAAATAAGTAGATACAGTTACCAAAATTGAACGCGAATTGATACCTGAGAGAAAAACAAATGAGCACCAAAAATTGTCAACTGTTGTCTCGAAGCTCATATATATCCCGAAGACAGTAGTAGTTACTTCAACTTTGAAAAAGCCACGTCGGCCACGCAGAGCTACATTTTCGGAATGGGGGGAAGCTGCACACACTCAGACGATTCCCGCGGAAGATTATTGCTGGATAGAGATAACTGTAACTCTGGGCAACTGTGACCTTCATTTTGTAAATATAACTCACAAAATTTGAGAGTCTCTTCTAACTTGGTCTCTCCTATGCAGCTAATTCTGACTCCTAGATTTCCCAATTTCAGACCCGGTTCCAGCTGAGAGCTAATCATCTTCACCTCAGCGCTAAACTTGATAAGAATTCAATTGACAAATTTGAACTCAAATAATGTAAATCAACTAATGGTAGATATGTATTTGGGCGAGATTGGCAAACTGAATAATAAATTGGTGCAAATAGGATTGGAATTTGGTTGGAGATGGGAAGAGGAAAGTGATTTCACCGGCGGCACCAGGCAGAGTGGAATCTACCGCAAATACAAATATGATGCTAGGGTTCCCTATGGCTTCACCGCCAGTTAATTGGATTCCATGTTTCTGGCCCTTGAGTTTTATGTGGGCTTTCAATATGGGCCAAAGGTGACTAATCTTCAAATTGGGAATAACAACAAAATAGAAGCCCATTTTTATATCAGATTGTGATCAAATAGAAGCCCTAGCCGAACAATAGTTAATATCAAATGTAAATCAAAATAGATCCTAATTAGTACTAATGACACTTAATTGGAATAAGACTCCACTGTTCTCACTTCCAAATAAATTAATACGAAACAAATGCACCAAATGATCCATTTGTTCTCCAGAGGAATAATAATCTGTTAATAAAACATTAAGATCACTACTACTATTTTAAACAATAGACATGGGTCGACTTGCTTAAATAAACAGGAAGCAAGTTTGAGATTTACAGCCAAACAGAAGCAAAGCTGTATTACAAATGAATAAATCTGGCAAATTAATCCCATGTCTGATCACGCAAACCATACTGCAACTTGTAAGTTCAATCAAAAATTCTTGGTAATACTATGTTTAGCATCGAGTTCGGGTCTTCACCATTATCATTCTCGATCAAGATTTTGAGACCTTGCCTTGTTGTAACTCTGGACAATGCAACATAGAGTTGGCCATGACTGAAAACCTGCCTCTGGAGACATAAGCCAACATGATCGAGTGTTTGTCCCTGACTTTTATTAATAGTCATGCCAAAACATAGAGCAATAGGATATTTTCTTCTAAGGAGAGTGAAATTAAGACTTTTGTAATATGTTGACAATGTAAGTCTAGGGAGAAACACACGATCACCTACATTGGTACCGGTCAGGATCTCCACCTCAATGAACCATTTTCCCAAAGTCTTAACAATCATTCTGGTACCATTGCAGAGCCCAACTGTTTGATCCATATTCCGCATCAAAATTACTGGACATCCCACTTTAAGTTTCAATTCATAATCAGGAAAGTTACCAACCTTCAATGTATTCAGAAACTCAGTAGTATAATCAGCATCCACCACACCCTCCTTTCCAGGATCCACTTCAATTGAATCTGAGCTAAAATATGTGACCTCATCTCCTGGAAATTTTCCTAAAATAAATTCATTGATTGCAGAAACCATATCATGGTGTGATGCCAAAATAGCTCGCCTGACCAAATAATTATGATCCGAATAATGACTCAAAAGATCACCATAAATTGAACCGACAATATCAGTAACAGGATATGATTAGCGAGGTACTAATAACTCATGTGGAATAGAAATAGTAGACTCACCAAAAACATCTGAATCAACCCCATCACCAATTTGCAAAAGCCAATTCTGGAAATCAGCAATTGCTAGCATTTCTTCTGGACATTGATTACCACGTGCTAGCCTCATATTTTGAATCAATTTGATTACCTTCAAATGCTGCCACAAATAAGACCTCTTAATAGATGAGTTGACAGAATCAGCTCGTGTACCTTTCAATACTATAGGCAGGGTTTGCCTGAAATCGCCTCCGAAAACAATTGTCAAACCTCGAAATGGTTTCTCATCACTATTTTGATATCGGAAACTTATTATATCTCGTAATGATTTATCCACAGCTTCCACCACATGTTTATGAGACATGACAACTTCATCCCAAATAATCAAAGAAACACGTTGGATTAACTCTGCCAACTCACCTCCCTGTTCAATATGACAGGTTGATCGCGCATCAATATCAACTGGAATATGAAATCGGGAATGAGCTGTTCTCCCACCATCCATCAAAAGGGCTGCAATACCAGAAAAAGCAACACATAAAACCACCTTCTGCTCTGAACGCAATTTCAAACAAATGACCTGCCACAAAAAGGTCTTTCCCGTTCCACCACAACCATTAATGAAAAATGACTTTCTTTGGTCACCATACACTGAAGCCATAATTTCATCATAGGCTACTCTTTGTTGGTCATTTAATTTGGAAATCATACTATCAAATTTATAACGAAGATCTGTGGCATTATAGTTAAGCTCTGCAGCGATCAATCTATTAGATGAAGATTGCAACATATCAAAACTGGGAACTGGTAATCCTGGAAAGTCTGAAATGGTTTTGCAATTCCTGGAGAGCAATTTATCAATTTCAAGCAAGCAACATTCTTTCAACTGAGACTCAGTCATCTCCAATGTAGGCATATTAAGTTGCTTCCGACGGGAGTACAAAATATCATCGGACAACATTGTCCAATTTCTTTCCCATAATCTGCCAATATCTGAAACTTGACATAAGGTTATTATAGTGACAAATAAATCTCTAACTTCTTACCTGATGCCCAAAGAGATGCTTCAGCTAAACAGTCATTCCATTCATTATCTTCTGCCAATAACCCATGAGCATAACATGCCTCCTTGAAAGATTTATGTATAACTCCATTCACGGTCCTGATATCCTCAAAACTAACTGATCCATGAACAATGTGTAGGAGCATACGCAGGTAGAATCTGTCATTTGTTGGTGAAGGATGACAATAGTATAACCGACCAATTGAGAATTTGGACTTCCTTCTGTGCCATTCTCATTTTGTTTGATCCCAAACATAAAACTGGGGAAATTTTACAAAAGTGTACTGCCTTGCTTCTGGAGATGATTGATTCATTTTCATCCAGCTCAATAACATAGAGGTCTGAGCTCGTTTAGATCGAAGTAACCCTTGAGGATTCTGGTTTTGCTTTGAGACAACAACGTTCTGACCCGGAAGATGATATGACATATGTAATACATATGGATATTGTGAGTAGACATCAAACTTGAATAACCTCCAACATGCTTCACCAGATGTTATATAACGACAGTCTAAAAATGACTTGATCTCATCGATACGTGGAGTACGATCAGAACTTGAAGCACTCGAATCACCACCTGTAGTACTTTGAGTTCCAACTAATGATGCTTTGGCTCTATCTTGTGGTTTATTTATATATTTGAAGAGATATTTGATTGCCCTGCAATCAAAAGACAATAATGAAATACCACATATCAAACATGAATGTGAATTTTCCTCAATCATCAATGCATAATTGCATGCATTCTAATTTTATTAATTAGAAAATTTAAATCAAACTATGTTATATTGAAACGTATACCTACAAAAAATCATGCATAGGATTTTTTAATAATTGATTAGCAATTTATACAAAATAACCCAACATAATTATAAGAACATAAAGAACAACACGAAGCACATCTGAAAATTAAAATCATTCAGCACATACCTCGATTTATTACAGAATTCAACATTAATATGTGCATCGAAGCGCAATAATAAATAGCGATTATACGGAACAACGAAATGGTTATCCAGAGCCACAGAGTGGATATTGAAAGATATCCCAGTATCACGTCGTCGATATTTCGCAAAACCATTATCATCAATTGTGGTTTGCTCACAAAACTGCTTTGGGAAATGTTTCGTACACCCCCCCCCCCCCCTTGAGTGCAAGGAGCATTACGGCCCAAAGCACCACATGGACCATGCAATATAAATGCAGTTACAGCTCGATAACCTTCTGGATCTAGATCACGATTAGGTATCTCTGCTGATATTACAGAATCTATTTCCTTGGGACCACTTAGTTTATATTCCGCAGCTAGGAAAACTAACAAATGAGCATGAGGAAGACCCCTCTTCTGAAACTCAATAGCCATGACATCTGTAAACAAAAAATACAATATTATAAAGAACTGAAATTCATAACAAATACATGATCACTCAACTTCAATTGCACTAGTAAATGATTGATAAATCTTAATTTTTCATGAAATAAATTTAGGTAAATTTTACATTATACATGGAAATTACAATAACTACAAAGAGTACTCTTTCAAAAGTTGTGGGCGGATATCCACAGTTACAGACATTTTTGCCATCCCTTTGTACTGACTATTTTGATAAATATAATCTGTCACTTGTAGACTAAAAAGGCAACACGTGTATCCATCTATAAGATTTGTTCTTGTGATTGCAATTGGTTTTATATATGATTGAGGAGGATATGTCTTTTGATAAATATATAATATGTCACCTGTACACTAAAAAGCCAACACATTATCTATATGATTGCTAAAAAACGAAACCAAAAATAGTATGGCAACACGTGTATGTATATATTATATATATATATATATGATTACTAAAGAACCAAATTAAAAAAGAGACTTTTGAAATCTCATCATCTACACAGGCAGAAACATAGGATGATTGAGGAAAATAATAGTAAAAAAATTGAATAAATAAAT